TTCAGCAACTGGATAGATATGGTCATTCTCTATAATTCTGCGTTTTTAGTTTTCTCGAATCTGCAATATTGTGGATGCAACAGATTTTCGTTCTTTGTGGGGGCGGAAGGGGGTGGGGCGAAATTTTGAGATATACGTTTTATAGTGACATCTCAAAGGAGTGTGTGTACCAAATTTGGTTACTCTAGCCTTAATAGTCTCTGAGATTTGTGGTTGCCTCAGATTTTCGTCCTTTGTGGGGGCGGAAGGGTGTGCGGCGAAATTTTGACACAAAACGGTCAAGGTCCGATATCACAGGAGTGTGGATACCAAATTTGGTTGCTCTAGCTCTTATGGGTTCTGAGATCCTTGCACTCATATTTTGCAATTGGCAAAACCGACCATGAAACTTGTGTATTAGAGTGAGACAGAGCGAGAAAGAGTGAAATTGTTTTCGTGATTCTGGCTATAATAATTATACAATCTGGTTCAGATTTTGCACTCTAGAAGATATAGTCATCTTCTACGATTCGGCGTTTTTAGTTTTCTCGTATCGTGGAAATTGTGGATGCCACAGATTTTCGCACTTTGTGGGGGCGGAAGTGAGCGGGGCTAAGTTTTGAAATATTTTTGTAGCAGTGACATATCACAGAAGTGTGGATCCAAAACATCGTTGCTCTAGCTCTTATAGTCTTTGAGCACTAGGCGCTGAAGGGGACGGACAGACGGACGGACGGACAGACGGACAGACATGGCTCAATCGACTCAGCTATTGATGCTGATCAAGAATATATATACTTTATGGGGTCGGAAACGATTCCTTCTGGACGTTACACACATCCACTTTTACCACAAATCTAATATACCCCAATCCTCATTTTGAGTATCGGGTATAAAAAATACTTTCGGATCAGCTGAATTGTCTACTAGACTTACCAGTGCTAGATCACGATTCAGCGAAATATATTAAATGGTTTTCTGATTCTATAAATGAGTCAATACATTTAATCAAATTAAAGTCACAATTACAGTCACAGAAATCACAGAAGGAGTTAATGTGATTTTCGCGTGAAAAAGTGTGAAAAGTTCAACAACCTTACAATTATATGAAAGTCATATAAAAAGGACAAAAGAGATCCAAGCATTTCCAGATGTTATGGAATTTTTAGAACAACGGTACACTTCTCTTTACACGTCGCAGGATAAAGAGTGGAAACCGTTGAAAAAAGTAGTGCTATATGGTAAAAAAAAAAGAAAATTGTCCGCTATGTAAAATGGCAGGACTAACCATAAATCACTGCTATAAGTTTAAGGGAATGAGTCCGATAGATAGAGGCCAGTTGATTAAAAAACAGCACCTTTGCACTAAATGCTGTAGGCATGTATAAGAAATGCTTATCGGAAAGTGTAAGTGGGATGCGAAAAGAGGGAAAATGTTAGCCCTTGCTTAATAAAAAGAACAAGCGTTATTAGCCACAGCACTTATTAATGTAATGGCAAGGAATGGAGCTCTAATTGATTGTTTATCGCAATGTTATATAATTTCACCGGAAGCTGCGCAAATATTCACCTTAGTACAAAAAAAGAGAGAGCACCGCGGTAAGTGGAGTGTCATCTACAGGCTCTTGCACTTCAAAGTACAAAGCTACTTTATGGGTAAAAACTCGGGATTGTAATAAAGGTCCTCTAAATATTGAAGCAATCATTCTTCCGAAACTGATGAAAGCTTTATTGTGGCGACAACAATTGAAGTTGGGGACTTAGAACGGTTCTGGGAATTGGAAAGTGAAAAGAATGACGTAGAAGAAGATGTGTGTTAGGAGCATTTCTTGGAAACAAGAAGAAGATATGAGAATGGCAGGTATGTGGTTAAAATACCATTTAAAAAAGAAAAGGATCTAGGAGATTCAAAACCCCAAGCTATAGCGCGATTTTAAAATTTAGAAAGAAAGCTCAGCAATAATAAAACATTAAAAGAAAATGATGTAAAGTTCATGCATGAATGTCAAAACTTAGGACATATGGTACAGTCCAAAGAAGATGGGAAATATTATTTGCCCCATCCAGGAGTCATAAGAGATTTTAGTCTAACGTCAGAGCTGACATTGAAAAAATGTACGGGCAAATAAATTGTATAAAGAAGATCAACAATATGTTCACATGGTATGGAGAGATAATCCAAACGAAAAGTTAAAAGAGTATAAACTCACAACCGTTACGTACGGTACAGCTTTAGCACCCTACTTTGCAACCGGGTGCTTGTTGCAATAGCAGATAATTGCAAAAATCAAGCAATTAGGGACATCATAACGAATGATTTTTATATGGAAAACCTGATGACAGGTGCCGACTCGATACTGGATGGTTAAACGGCATGTAAAGGAAGTTAAGAAAGTGGTAAACAAATATCTCAGAAATTATAGAAGGCGTTGGAGATGACCAAGAGAATAAAGTATAAACCTTTGAGGAGAATGAATCCGTCAAAACCAGGGACCGTAACGATTATAATTTGTATAAAAAAAATTAAGGAATGAGATTTATTTGTTAAATTTTGTTTTAAATTTTTTTAAACTATTTAATTTAATTTAAATGGTATATATACATTTTTATATAAAAATTAACACATCAAAATTATTTTCAATTTGTATTATAACAATTGAAAATAAAAATTGAATTCAAATATCTTTTGAAACAAAGGAGCCAGATCATATATAGTCCTATATATAACCTACGCATTAATACCATTAATTAATAATAATTAATACCATTAATTAATACACATTAGCCGCTGATTAGGCGGTTTGGGCAAGTGCCTAAGCGGATAATTAAATATACTTACATACAAATGTATGAACATACAATGTACATACATACATATTATATATCATTTGAAAGGTATTAATGCGTAGGTCATATATATAGGACTATATATGATCTGAATTCATATAATATAATATATACAGCCAGGCTCCGTTTTTCACATTCACAAAAGTTTTCCGATTTACTTTTGAAATCACATAAATTGGGGCTCTCTTTTTCCCATTCCGCAAGATTTCATCGTTTTCAAAACGAAACGTAATCCGCCAAAGTAAATGAAAAACGGAGCCTGCCTGATAATGAATATAATAAAAATTAAATCATAACTTTTATTTTCAATTTTTATAATAAAAATTGAACATAATTTGTATGTGTTAATTTTTGTATAAAAATGTACATATAAAAATAATTTTTTAATTTTTATCATTTAAAATAATTTTAATAATTAAAAAAATTTAGAACAAAAAATTGAAAATAAAAGTTTATCCTGTTTTGAAATTTGCCGTAAAAAAATAACATATGTATGTATGTCTATTTTTCCCACTCTTCTTGGTGTTTTTTTGTGCCTCAATTTTTTTAAACTTATTAATTAATAATTATTATTTGCGGTCTCTGGTCGAGACCATGCCACTTTCGGCCCCTTACAGAATGTTCAATCATAAACATATTATTGTACACATTCACACATGTATCCAAAAAACTGATCTCTAAAAAAATCACCTAAAAAAGATAAGAAATGACAGTTCGGGTGTAAACAAAGATCTGTAACCCATTAAAAGGTACTACACCAAAACACAAGTGGAGAAAACACTTAACCAATGCAGACACCCGCACTAAAATGTATCCTTTTCGTAGGTCTAACGAAAATTATAGAATACAAAATTGTACCTCCTACCTCATTGTCAAATCACATATAAGGCTCTGATTTTAAGAATAAAATTCAGGTTGAATTTAAAACTCAACTCGCAAATGTCTAGACTTTTCTTTTAAGGTCTTAACAGCGACCAAACGTGAAATGACAGAAAAATTACAAAATCTTCGTATGGGTACAATGATGACAGATGACAGTTTTATAAGCAACAAAAACTACCCCCGATTGTCCGAGATTTTTTAGAATCCACGTTTCAGTCATTTGTATCTGTGAAAATAAAATTTCGGGCGACGACAATGACCCAAGACTATTATCAAAGACTATACAATACCAAGATGTTGCATGAGGAACAAATTCTTTTTCAATTTTCGTTTGACGCTTCATGGTACGGGCGCGCGGGGCTATTACTTAAATTATCTTTTACTCTACCTTCGCCTCCGAAATGCTACTCGGCTTCGTCAATGCCTCGGTCAGCGTCGAGTCGGTGTGTCTCGAGAGAAAGAATACAAAAACAAAATATGAATCGTCTGCGTGCCGAAACCGTAGGGCAGCGTGGTCGCTGATGTCTTTGGCGCGGCACAGTGGGGACTCAGCCGAAATAGTCAAAAAATTGTATGAGTGCTTTAGATAAATTTAATGTACGCATCTAATAGGGAATTTTCCAATCGAATTTTCAAGATAGTTTTAGTTTAGGAGATATAAGCACTCAAAGTTTAACATTTTTTAGGTGTGCAAATAATTATTGAACTCATATTCACTAACTAATTTAGCAAGCTGAGACGGCCAAAGGTCCCACTGTGCCGCTCCAAAGACATCGGCGATCCGCGACCACCGCTTCGACGGTGCTGAGGCTCGAGAGTCCAGAATTGCCGAACAGACGAAACCGATGGGCAGCGGGGTCGCGGTAGAGACGAATTACAGGCGAAAAGGGAATTGAAACCCCGCGCGCTCCCTCGTGCCTTTTGGGTTCTAATGTTAGGACCCGCCATAGAACAGCTTTTTGGTCGCTCATGCAACATCTTGGTATTGTATAGTCTTTACTATTATATGTAATAGAGAGAAATATAATTTGATAAGATTAAAAGTTTCCCTTCTTTTTAATTTTGATAACTTTGTTATGAACGCATTATAAAAACTTTTTTTGAAATACAAAAATTTTAATACAATAGATGCCACAAAAATACGAAAAAACTAGTTACTGTTATTAGGCAAACCTTAACGACGAGAAATACAAAATACATTTTTTTATCAATGGAATTATTATCGGTCACACTGATAGGTTTATATGTATTATTAACAAACAAAAAAACCATAAATATAAGAATGTATTAACCTGCATGTGACTGATCGTCCTCGCCACCAGTTGTGTAGCGACGTCCATGCACGACTTTGTCCCTGAGAATGACGAAAATCAAGATCCATTATCATAATTGATGCGGGAGCTAATCTTATTTCGATCGACTCAAATACTCACCTGAAACCCGTCTGATTGGCATAGACTAACTTGCTGGAGCCATCCAAGGAAACCTCCTCAACGGAATGATGGTTTGGTGCCGTCGTCGCACCGCCATAGCTCTTTGTAATCGGTTTCTTCGAGTAGGGCGGATCGTACTTCATTGTAGTAGTCTTGCGTCTATATCGACGTACGTCAGCGCCAATATCGATGTGGTAGTTGTTTATTTCATTTATATTTATATTATAGATGCATACACACAGGTCATATAGTATGTATAAAATCAATTTGTATAGTTTTCCATGTTTTATGTATATGTATATTAAGTTATCGGAAATATTTTATTTCATTAGAGAATATCATTTAATTTCAATGTGTTTAGTCATGTTGGGACGTTTGGTTTGGTTTGATTCGGTTGGTGGAACGATATACGGTATAAACGAAGCATATGAGGCATAAGCATGTCCCCATAAACACACATTCACGCGATTCAATTGTGTGTTGTAGCGTGTGTGTGTGTATTTATAAGGAAGCGTTGATTTATTTATTTCATGAAGTTCAATTTAGATTGGATCGATTTCGATTTGGATCGTATTTAATTTTGTTTTTATTGATATTTTGTTTGATGGATCATTATATTGATTTTATTGTCGATTGTTGTCAGGAAACGAAATGGTACAATGAGATTTTTGATTAATACATGGTTTTAGGTAGTGAAAATAATTTATATGGAGTATTAAAATGTTAGTATTAAGTATACATTGACATGTGAGCACAAATATCTATACATATGTGTAAATACATACAAATCCATAATCCTACATATTTTAATGGACTATGAAAGAATATGATCATGTGCAAAAGCATATATGTATGTATGTACATTCATACATATATACATATGTACATATGTATACTTAATGTTCTAGACGTAATGTGTCGTAGAAAAATAATATCTATAAAATGTTAGAAAAATTCGAAAGTTGTAACTAAGCATAAAACAAAAACTCCCAGTGAAGGAGTTGAACAATATTTTCTTAATTTTTTCAAAATCAATCAAAATATTTATTTTAAAACACACAAATGCATAACAAAAAAACACTAATAAATTAATTTGGGGTGTTCTAAGCAAACTTTTTTACAGACACTAAAAAAAAATTGTAAATAAAAAAGGAGAATGCCATTCATATTGTTTTCAATAAAGAAAGAAAGACATTTATACAAACGAGGTGAAATGGTAATGGACATCGATTAAGGCAGGAAAATTATGTTAATAGTTTGTATGGAAGCTTAGATGTCATTATGCTCTGTGTGTATTGTGCATGCTGTCGGACACTGTATTAAACAGACTCAACACATTTGTGCAGACAGTAAAGGAAGCGGAGTATAATAGTTGTAATGGAAGATCATGGAATTATAAATGCACCGATGCACAGGGATGATAATTACATATGTATATGTATATGTATGTATGTATGTATATGACGGTAATGGATGAATTTTTGCAATAGACATGGGGTCATTTATCGTGTCTGTGTAGTGTCTGACAAAAACTGGGCTGTCTATTCGGCTATATTTGTGGCTGTTTGTGTATATGTATATGTGATATGAGCAAACCGTATGACAAAAAAATAAAATAAATAAACATATGTATGTAATAAATTGCATTGTACATTGTATTCATATTTGCATTGATGGCTTGTGATTAAAGCATTGATAGCTTTTAGCTTGTCGGAACACATCAGGCTCACTCAGCAGAAAGCACCACCATTGCTCAAAGTCAGTTTCGTCTATGTTGGGCCCTAAGCGGAAAAATGGATCGGCCCGACTTTCACGCTTACGTATATTCAGAGAATATCGAATATATATACATAAATATATATGCACATATATACATATATATACATATATATATATACATAATGTAAATAGCCTCACAGCTTACAGCACCCAGAGCATCCATTTTTATTTGAGGCTGTGTATAAGCTCAATAGTTTCAAGTTTTTAGTTTCCAACATCTTCAATATTTACACTAGGCAACCAAACTGAACTTTTAATTTACGCTATTAACTAAATCGACTTATTATGTTATATGTGGGGCTTTAACATTTTTTAATGAATCATTGTTATTTTTTATTTAATGGTTACCAACTGGTATTTTTTTATGTTTCAGAGGTAGTTCGTCTTTTTTTAAATAACTTATGTATCTTACATCTGGTTTTATTGAGTTTCAATTTTGAAAAGCTAATACAGTTGTAGCTCGTTAGCTTACTGTCTGGAAAATATTAAGCTTTAAAATTCAAAATTTATCGTGTTTTAACAATTAACAATTATAAAGTCTCAAATCTATCAGAAAAATTCGGTTTGGTTCGAAGCGTAAATAAAAAGTAAAATTTTGTTGCCTAGTACTATTAAAGACAATACAATTATAGTGTTGCGACATTTAATTGTGCTAACTTTTCTGCGAAGAGAGAAATAGCATTAGGGACAAACGGAAAATAAATGTTCGTAGCCGTGTCTTAATACGTCTCCCGGCTATCAGTCGACGAATAAGGCACTAATTGTGACAAAATTATGTTTTCCAACACGCATTCCCTGCCAGCTAGCAAAATTGGATCTAAAAAGCGTAACAATTGATAATTTCTGCAGCAGCACTGCTCCCAGCTCAATTGGAAGCTTACGCGTCTCACTGCACGTTTTTCTCATAAGGCTATCTCTGTTACCAAGATATTGAACCAGGAACAAATTCCATTTCAAATGTTGTTTGACGCTTCTTGGTACTGGGTTGCAGGGTACTGGTACTTAAATTCTCTTTTATGCTATCATTATTCTGACCAATGAATACACGGCTTTGTCTGGTTGTCAATGCCTTGCGCAGCTGAGTTCGTTCCAGAATCCTACAACAAATGCACAGTATTTCGCGAGTCGCAGTCGGTTCCAGTCTCGAGGAAAATATTGTATTATTCCATTCGATTTTGAACCAGAGGCTTTTGGGCTCGCCAAAGATTGTGCACCTGTAGATTTCTGGGAGCTGAAAAGAGAATTAAAGCCCCCGCAACCACGAAAAAAAACCCACCATAGAACAGCTTTTTGGTCCCTCATGTAGAATTTTGGTATTTTATAGTATTTGCTAGTATCAACACAAGCCTGTTCCAATAAGTCGAATATAATATAAGAAAATCACCGGTTCGTCACATAGTACTAACCATACAGTATATAGATGTGCTAGTTCATACAACGAAAGCGTCACACACTGGCTAGCGCGTTCCGTACCCCAGAGTACTGTGTTACATGTGTTAGTACACACGCAATATGTTTCGACAAAAATATGTGATTGCATGATTTTTTCAGATTTTTTGAACTCTCTCAGGTCTGGTTCTTATGCATTCTCACGTACTTTGCGTGTGTGTGTTTAGTATTGCTGTCCGCTAAAACTGAAATTTGATTTTGGTTCTTGTTTTAGGTCTTTTGATGGACTGGACTACCGCAACAAAATAAATGAAGAATGGGCAGGGGGTGTGGGTATGGGTATGGAACACTAGGGCGTGGGAAATAAAATAAAAGCTGGTATTTGTTTGATTTATATCACAAAATATAAAATATTACAATAATATAATTACACATTTATTTGCTTATTTTAAACAGGTTGATTATAAATTATAAAAATTATGCAAACGCCGTCGGTTCTCGTCGGATGTGAACTGGCACATCTATATACTGTATGGTTCGCTGTGCACGAGAGAAATAAATAAATATTCCATCTTTCGTCGACGAATAAGTAAGGAATGAACAACAAAAAAGGAGGAAGCGTGTAAGCGGATTGAATAAAATAAATAAATAATAATGCAAAACTTAACCTAGCAAAAACAGTCAAATGAATTTACATAGAAATAAAAATCATGTTATTAACTCCCTCCCGCAAGTATGGATTTATCCAATATTGGCTGCCCTTTTTCGTTCATTGTTCTCCTCCATTCTACACAAAAATTACATTACTTCTTGCTTTCATTATTTATTTTATTACAAATTTTAATTTTTAACAAATTTTAATTGTAAAAAAACTCAAATCAGTATAAACATAGAGAGCATGTAAACCTAATCACACTCGAACGTTGTGAGTTGCTGCGGACACCGCAACTCTACAGTTATACCCGATACTAAGTCAGTATGGCTCTCCTCCGGCAGACGCCGCTAATATTAAAGGACACCACAAAGAGTGCGTGCGAGAGAAAATCAGAAAATCAGTCTGAGCGTGACGTCGGGCGCTGCGTAGCCACTGCAAATTGATTTGTTCCTGTTGGCCATAAAAAATATCTGATCTGATCCAGATTCAGCAATCTGATAGATATGGTCGTTATCTATGATTCTGCGTTTTTAGTTTTCTCAAATCTGCAATATTGTGGATGCAACAGATTTTCGTCCTTTGTGTGGGCGGAAGGGGGTGGGGCGAAATTTTGAGATATACGTTTTATAGTGACATCTCAAAGGAGTGTGTGTACCAAATTTGGTTACTCTAGCCTTAATAGGCTCTGAGATTTGTGGATGCCCCAGATTTTCGTCCTTTGCGGGGGCGGAAGGGGGTGTGGCGAAATATAGTCCGATATATTAGGAGTGTGGATACCAAATTTGGTTGCTCTAGCTTTTATAGTCTCTGAGATCTAGGCGCTAATGTTTTACTCTAAGCAAAGCCGGCTATGCTACGTGTGTGTTAGAGAGAGACAGGGCGAAAAAAAAATGAAATTGTTTTCTTGATGCTGGCTATAATAATAATACGATTTAATTCTAAAAGATATGGTCATTCTCTACGATTCTGCGTTTTTGGTTTTTAGAGAGAGACAGAGCGAGAAAAAATGAAATTGTTTTCTTGATTCTGGCTATAATAATTATACGATCTGGTTCAGATTTTGCACTCTAGAAGATATAGTCATCTTCTACGATTCGACGTTTTTAGTTTTCTCGTATCGTGGAAATTGTGGATGCCACAGATTTTCGCACTTTGTGGGGGCGGAAGTGGGCGGGGCAAAGTTTTGAAATATTTTTGTAGCAGTGACATATCACAGAAGTCTGGATCCAAAACATCGTTGCTCTAGCTCTTATAGTCTTTGAGCACTAGGCGCTGAAGGGGACGGACAGACGGACGGACGGACAGACGGACAGACAGACATGGCTTAATCGACTCG